TGACCAAAACTATTTGAACCAACCGCACACTCGCTATCAAGTAATGCGCGAGCAGCGCACTCAGACCAAAAGAAACTGACCAATTGCTAGCCCCATAATTTCCCTGCCCTCCGATGACTGAAAAGGAAGTTCGATAGATTCAACTAACTCATTCTCTGTTGCTAATCTGCACAGGAAAAAACAAACAAACCGAAGAGTCAGCAGTAGGTTTCACGGTTGAATCGTCATTCGCAATGCCATGCTGCGAGCAGTATAAACCATTTACCTAATTTGGAGCTTTCAAATGGCTTCAGAATCTTTTCAGTATAGTCATCAGCTGGCCGATTGAGCGATAGATTCCAGGAAGTCGTACGAAGAGTGATTTTTTGCGTAGTTTCACATATGTATATATCTATCCTTCGTAGTAATAATAGGATAATATACAGACGTTAAATGGACGACCACTCAAGTTTAAACATTGTTCGGTTTGACTAACTACTATATATTGTGACTAACTTATTTAGTTGACGAACGGTTTAGAATGAGATAGCTATAGAACTTATACTGACCAAAGTAGTGTAATAGCTTACAAGAGTATGAAGACTGATCATATCATAATCTTAACGTCTTAATAACCATAGTCAGTAATTCTGTCCATGTCTACCATCAGTCTTTTCTAAATACAGGTACAGAATATCTATCCATCTCCTATTATACACTACTGTAGAACTAACGGCATTACTCAGTTTAGGTTCACGCTCTATTGGTATATGTGCACCAATAACTGGCATGCATCAAATAAATCACATAACACACAACACTGATATTACAATACAAAACTAAACCCTCATAAATCTAAACACTCATTGCTCATACACAGAATCCTAAAGTACTCGTCGTTAGACATAGAACAATACATGTTACACACACACACACACACATATATATATATATATGCACGCACACAAACACAAACACAAACACTAACACAATCAAACACGCACGCACACACGAACGCACACACAGACTTACACACATAAATGCATAATCACACACACACAAACACATACACACACACACACAACACGCACAAAAACACACAAACAATCACGCACAGCTGAAAACAACACACAATTACATACATATATGCAAACCTACATGTATACATATATACAGCTAAATATATACGTACGTAAATAACTAAATACATACATACATACGTACACAGGTTATTAGGTAGATAGGTAAGTAGGTACGCACATACATACATACATCCATACATACCTACATACATACCTACAAGT